CCCCGAATGAAAAGGGCTAGTTTCGCCCCTGACTGTTAACACAGTTTAGTATTTATAGAATTAAGAGATGACGAACTTACATTACTTTAGGGAAACCAAATTGGGTTAACGCAAAACAAAGTTTGCGGTAACACGGCGGTAACCCAGGTTTGGTTACTGCAATTTGGACAACCTGCAAGATGTGTATTTGAGCACGCATTTTCGGATATAGAAAATACAATATATATAATTTGTTTTCTTTTTATTTAGGGAAAAACAAACAGATCTTGGTAGGTGTTTTTTGCAATACTTGGTACTGTAACATGCAAATATATTACTTGCCTCCTCCTTCCATGTTGAACTCTGATAATTTTTATCTTCTGTTTAGGGCATATAAATCCAAATTATCCAAGCTTGTCCAATCTGGTAACAACATTTTTACATCATTACTAACTAGTGTGCCAACCAATGGATTATTCCAGCTGTAGACTAAATTTTGATCAAGGCAAGAAGAACGAAATCCAATAACACAGCTAGAAAGAGCGTCTTAGAATGAGTAAAACTCACTTGGTTGCTAAATGTTGTAAAATGTAGAAAATATAGCCCTGTGAAGTTCGCAAATTTTGTATATATTTGTATTACGCACGGTAAAAAGAAAACTTTCGGCTCAAAAGTGGGTATTTTTCCCGCGCGTAATGCAAATATACACAAAATTTGCAAACTTCACAGGGCTATATTTTCCTCATTTTACAACAATTCACAACCAAACTTTGCAATTTTACTCATTTTAAGATGCTCTTTCCAGCTATGGTAATGGATTTCGTTCTTCTTGTCTAGATCAAACTTTCGTCTACAGCTGGAATCACCATTTGTATTTGTGATATTATTTCATATATTATCGTTATAGCAAATCATGCCGGCTTTGAACAATCCATTAAGTGATGGCGTTCATGTATATGAAAACCCTCAAGTTGTCAGTGATGGCACAAATCGTCGCTCTGGAGTAATATCCATTGGTTAGTAATTATAAAATAGAAAACCGACTCCCAATCTTGTACCAATAGGTGCACTTTAATAATAATAGAATGGTTTGTTATAATCAAATTAATAATTACAGTGATATACTAATCTGAAAATACTGTAGCATTAGCTATTAATTAGCATGCACTTCAATAATATTAATTATCACTTCTGCATGTATTTTATTCTAGACTCAGCAGCATACGATTCGTGTATAGTTGTGGATAATCCCTCAGCTAACCAGAAAGTAAAGAGCGTGTATGATAATATTCCTGAGTCCCCGGAGAACGCGTATAAAGCATTGGATCCCGCCAAGAGAGAACCTTCAGCAAAATATCAGAGTCTGATCAAGAATAATGAGGTTATAGTTCTTCTTTTGTGGTTATGTTCTACCATTTCTTTACCATACCATCGTACGGTTTTCATATCATACCACACTGTACAATACTGTAGTATGCCATTTCCTACCAGCTACCACAGAATACATTCTGCACCTCATATATACCATAACAAATCATACCATTCTCTACAAATTCACACCATCAACCATCATCATATACCATACGTCCATACCATACCATACCATACCACAGTACCGCACAGAGCTAAACCATACCATAATATTCTATACCATACCACAATATTCTATACCATACCACACCATCACATTGATCATACCACCTTGCCATCCATACCAGTGATACCATACAGTCCATACCATATCATAGCCATACCAATGATACCATACCATACCATGCAAATGATGCAACACTATACAAATTACATAACCTCTTACATTAATTTAGTATTCAACTGTGGCTGACAGTGTATCTGGTGCACCTATCCAAGGTAAATAACTATTTTTTCCCAATTATATTTCTTAACAACCCCAACCTGAACCGACCTGTAGCTCAGTTGGCAGAGCATTGGGCGTAAAAAAAATACCTGTGGTTCCGGTTCCCGACCGACCCTATTTTTTTCTGCCGACCCTATTATTTTTTCAACGCGATTGACCGTGCGACCCTATTTTCTCCAGGTGGTTGCGGGCTGCTCATACAGCGTGCCAAAACGGCGTCTGTTATCACACTAATTATTGAACCAAATTGCCTAAATTTGTCCATAGGAAATACGCATCTCTAGTTAATATTGATGTCGAGATTCTACTGCAAATCGCCCAGCAAAAAAACGCCAAAACCATGAAAAAACTATTCAAAAAAAAAATTTATTTCCGACCTACCGACCCTAATTTTTTCACGATATGAAACCGGAACCACAGGTATTTTTTTTTACGCCTTGGGCTAGTATTCCAAAGGTCGTAGGTTCGATTTCCACCGTAGCCAGGCATATTTTTCAAGCTTGCCCGGTGTGGATATACACTTAGAGTAACACCACAAACATCAACCCAAAGTTATGCTTGCGATCACTAGTTTTATTAAACACGAAGTGGTATCGTGAATATACCTAACCAGAGAGCGCATATTTGACATACTTATACCCGTTGCCAGCCAATTCACTTGCATATAATGGAAAATACTTGGTTACCTTTGTTCCATTCTATGCTTCCATAGACCTTTGGAGCTAACGCATGTTTGTTTCATTCGCATACATACAGAATATAATTAAATGCTTGGTTACTGTAAGTTGTTTCCATTCTATGTCAAATCACATGTAACTAGGCATGTGAGTTATCCGACAATGTCAGTTACCCAACGAAACATTTGCGAGGGATATAAAACTTTACAAAACTTAATTTTGTTGTGGCTATTATTGTACGGACATTATGCTGGACATTGATATTTATCATATGATCGTAAACATGTGTTAGCTGATCAAGTTTGTTGTTTCTTAAAGAGCCATTGTATTCCGAAGTTGATCGTTTGCCGTCACCAATGCCAGTTAGAAATGGCCATGGACCCAGAGGTCCCACCCCTCCACCCCTTACCTCCAGGAAATCCCACACCCCCGTTGTGGCTGAGCCGATATACAATGAACTTGAGAGCAGCGGTAACCAAGCCAAAGGAGTAACGCCCAAGCACAACAGGAACTCCGCGCCACCCTCCCTTCCCCCGCGTCAACCCCACCTCCCCGCCGTGGCTGAGCCGATATATAACGAACTTGAGAACAGCGGTAGTCATGCCCAGGAGCATGCGAATGATGTCACCAATGAACTGGAAGAATCGAATGAAAGTGATGGTAAAAATGGACCGCTTTATTCTGAACTGGAGGAGGATAAATAAATACGAAGGAAGCCGACCACTGATCTTGGTGGGTGACTGAATTGATATCACTGATCTTTTGGTATGTAACTGAATTGACATCTTCTGCATTAAACCTTGACTGTTTGAGTCAGTCATAATGGTCGCAATTTGATATTCCCTAGAAATTTAGAGTTATTTTTCAAGAATTGTTTTGAATTATACAAACCATTTTATAAGGGGACTAATTATTGTAGGAATAAAAAATAATATTTATAGTTCGCATTTATTATACAGTGATCGAATGAGTAGTTTTAAATTGGTTAATTGTTAACTATATAATTTTGTAATTTATATTAAGGTAAGAATATAGTAGAACGACTAATATCGTTATAGATATGATAGATTTTATTACTCCATATTAAAATATTTATATTATTTTCCAATTATACTGAAGTAAAGTTTTGAAACTCACAGATGAAGTAAATTAATTAATTCAAATGCTAGATTATTCTAGCATGGATGAGTTTCTCTTAATTCTTTAATAATCTTTTTAATTTCTGTTCGTTTTCTTCTCACGGACTCAGCATTCACTTCATTTTGTAAGATATGTTCTGAACTGACTTTGTCCTGCAGTCGTTTACACAGAACTTCAGCGATGTATATCACATATACCCCACAGTCAGAAACTACAGAAAACATAAGAAAACAGGGAACATATAACAACATGAGTTGGCTTTTGTACTTAGCTAAACTACCACGTACATAAAGAAAGGTATAAGCCCATCAAATAAGCTCATTCGTTGCGCTGTACTACAAGTCTAAAGATTGGAGGAATATGCAATTCACTGAACATGCCAATGTTGAAACCATTGGCATTGCTTACAGTTTTCCTGTTGTGGACAAGTCTCTTCAACGAAGTTGACGTTCTGTTTAACTGAAAAAAATAGATATATTAACTTTAAAAAACTCTTTACTTTAGCTTTAATTTCCTCGGCTTAGAAAGGGTTTATTCTTAAAATTACTTCGCCAATAGCAATGAACTCGTAAGCGATGGGTCGTTTTTTAAGCCATTTAAAACGCTCGCAGTCCGCGCTTTACCAGATATAAAACACTCGAGCTGCGCTTCGTGTTTTATATATGATAAAGCGCTCCTGCTTGTGTTTTAAATAGTACATAACTGATTATGCCTACATTGTTGATCGAACAATTTCGTTAAACGTTGCTCAAACAAAAGAGGTTAATAGAAACACTTCAAGGAAATGTCCTCTGACAGCTTAACCTAATCGCTACTAAGCGCTATTATATATGTTGTTGGACTGAATAACTTTAATTCCTGTAGTCTTTTGAGTTTTCAATCTTATAGCAACGTGTTCTAGCTGGTAAAAATCGAGAATGGGAAAAGTGGGCATATATTTCATGTAGTTTTTCGTAGAAAGACGTCCAAAGAAAAGTTTACCTCGAAGAAACGGTTCGACTGATTTACTCATTTGACATGCGTGAGAATGATTGCTTGGCACACAAGAATCGTAGTGCTGGAATTTCTTCTGGTGTGCATCGTAGACCAACAGACTCCTGGATTGGAAAAAGTATCAATGATAAAAATAAAATTTCTCTCGTGACGTAAGGAATAAGGGACCGGTCATTATTTATGGCGGGGGGTGGCACCGAAGAGAAAAGGGTTGGGTAAACAAAATTTTGAGTGAGTAAAAGGTTGGGTAAATGAAAAACGAAACAGCTCAAAGGTTGGGTAATAGAAATTTATTGTCATTTCCAAAGCATGACTCACTCAAATATTGAAGACTGAAAACTTCAATGTCAACGGTCATGTCAATACAATATGTGAATCAATCAGAGTCACTATCTTCATCATTTTCCGATTTATTGAGAGACAAATGGTGTCTCCAAAGAAAGGAAATGTGCAGACAACATGAAACTTTAGACTGCAGAAAAGTCAGTAAATTTCACAAGCCGAACGTTATTAAACTCGTATCACAGTGGTAAAGGACATGTGTGACAACTGAATGACATCCTTTTGTAATGTTTTTGGCCAGGGGTGGGCATTTATTTTTTAAATGATACTTGAGGTTGGGTAATCAAATTTTTTAATGGTTGGGTCAGCAAAATTTTTGCCACGAAAAACATTTCTCTTCGGTGCCACCCCCCACCATAAATAATGACCGGTCCCTAAGCAATTTCACTGAGCGCTATCGTGCAGCAGATGATGGTCAACCTGCATTTATCAGAGTGAAAAAATGTTAATTCTTTTCATTGTATGCAGTACCTTTATATGCAGAGCCAGCAAATAATGAAGGCCGATTTACACTACACAACTTTTGCCTAAAACTGTCGCATGCAACCTGCTTACAACTTGAGTTGTACTGTGTAAATCAAGCACACAACTTACCTACGACAACGTAAGCGAATTGTGTGCTTGATTTACAACTCCCTTACATTGTCCGCAGGTTTGCCGCTTCAGCATGTAGGACGGCAACACGATGACGACGGCAACCAATACAATGAGTCAATGAAAAGAAATAATTAAAGTCCCAGGGGGGTTTCCGACGTGGTCGTCGTTCTGTTTACAACGGCAATTCACAGATTTTCACGTCTTTTATACGTCTTCATTTCAAGCCGTAACAAGTGCAACTTAAAATTCCGTCAGTAGAACTCTCCCCAAACATAAAGCCAATGTTTTCAGCTTCTTATACTGTATTAAATTCATACGAATTATAATATACGACAAGTTTTCTTTGCTATCATTTATTTGAAGGAATTTGTTTTGGCCGTCGTCGTCGCGTTGCCGTCCTACATGCTTAAGCCCGCTATTTATACAGTACATAGAACAACAATAGCTTTCATTATTTGAATAGTTTAAAAACGTATTTGGAATAGGGTTAACTTAATGTTTAAGTTCCCTGTTTAGGAAATAGAAAACATACGAATCTTCTCATTTCATGGGAACGACCTGAGACTGCAATCACGGCTTCAATTTTTGAATTGCAGAATAATTAGATGCACTATCTGGTGTATATAAGATATCTATGATACAGTACCATAAGTCGGAAGCAGGTTGCATGCGACAGTTTTAGGCAACCGACCAGGGGCAGGGTATTGCCAATACTCAATAGACTGAAAATATCGATTTTCTACTTCTTTGTGTAACACTAGCAAAATCTACGACATGGAACTAACCAATGTGTGCCACCAGTGGCTTCGGGGTTTACATTACTGTTGACTGGAATGAATATTCTATCCTTGCAATGTAGATTAAGTGGTTCAAGAAATATGGCTAGTTCTGCACCTGGTTAATTAAGAAAATCCATGTTTATTATTAAATTAAAAAGATTGTTGTTGGAGTAATATTTTAGTTAGGAAAGAAACCTAGTGGTCATAGCTTTCTTCAAGAAGAAGTAGATTTGTCTTGGTCTCTTTGACAATTTAGTCTTGCGAATAATGCGGTGACAATTTGTATGTTACGGCCAGTGGTGCTTGATGTGAGTGACAGCCGTTGTGTTTTATAAAACAGGGAATTTGCACGTCAAGGAAATGCTACAGATGCAGTTTAAATTGTACAATAAGTTTAAAAGGTTCGGTACATCACAACAAACAGGCGATTCGATTTGAAAGTAGGTGTAGCACCATAAGACCATTTGGCATTTACCGTACTTTTTTGACTGAGATGGCTTACCTTTACACAATTTAATATACTGAGCTACATCTGGGTTTACAAAAAGAACATTCTCCAACTTATTAAATAATATGTACTCGAAATATCTACAAAAAGAGGTGTATGGTGAACATTTAGAAGTGCTTCAAGTGCAGTGCACTTAGCCACTTACAGGTTTTGCTGGCAAATATCTCAGTTTTATTCTTAAATAGTGCACATGTAGTATTTGTCCTTACTCAAACATAAAGCCTATAATCGTATCGTTCAGCCATTGTCCTTCATCAAGTAATTTAACGTCCGATTTTCGCAATAAACTATCTTGAAAATTTAAAACAACTTCGTCGGCCATCTTAGCGCTAGACTATAACACAATGTTTTCAACAACGACACTGCTGACTCGTACAGATCGCTTTTCCAACATTGTAATGATTGTATGTGAAATTTTATACAAGTGCGTTTTTGAATGAAAGCCAAACGGATTTTTTAAGGTATAGGTTATATTTTTCACGTTTGAACGGTACTTCACTGCTCAAAGGATAGATCAATGTGCTTTCTTTCTAATATTGCAGTGCAATAATTGCGATATTTAGATATTTTATACGAAAATATGATGACAAACATTTAATTTTTGTGGTGAACGGAAGAAGCCGAACTGGTGACGATAACCAACGAGTGACTTCGGTACGAGTTCGTGGCGTCTTCGTCAAGGTCGCTCGATGCAAAACCGATTCTGAGATGAAGGGTATATAAAAATAAATATGGAGAAAAGTTTCTGTCAGTTCTCAAATTCAGGCGGTTCGTGGCTCTCCTTTCCCGAACCAGAGGATGACAGTGAATCTGAAGGTATTATCAATGCTTTCTATAGCGTAGAATTTCCAAACATGGCGTATCCGTGCCGATCTGACCGAATTGTTATATCCCTTCTAAACCGTGTGTTACCATTTTTATAGGAGAGAATAACAATGGTTTGGAAGCTCGGCATGCAACATTATTGCCAAGAAATGGTAATTATTATGACAAGCTTTGAATATACTTTACAGTATAATAATATAATCAATAAGGTCTTAACCGATCTCTTTGTTTACAATTGATTAATTTTAGAAGTTTTGATAAAGTTGCTGTTTTCTGTGTGTTTATTAAATGGTATACTATATTGTACCGGTGTTATAACACTGTAGTTTTATGTACCCTAAGGGTATGCATTTCATATCTGGGTATATGCAGCACTTGACCTTTTAAATATGCCCTTTGTACATCAGATCAAAATATAAAACAGTTAGATTTTGACTGTCATGATAATTTATTAAAACTTTTGTCAGATAGTATTTGGTTATTAAAGTTTATTTTGATTACTAATGAATATTGCCCTACTCTAACACATCTAATGTTGTTTAAATATTTCCATAGAAATGTATTTGTTTGGCCACTGTCCGGCTCATGATAATTTTACCCTTGTCAATTGTAACGAGTGTGGAAAAATTCTCAAAATGTCGCTGTTTACAAGGCATTGTGGTGAGGATAAATTCAGATGTTTTTTTTTTAAATTGTAATCTGCTTTGTGTTATCATGTATCTAATTACATTCAATTTGTCATCATAAATTGCTAATTGATTATTATCTATCATCTATGCATTATCAAAAAATAGTAACTTATTGTAACCTCCTGGACATCTCGAAAAGGTCACATTGTTAAAACTTCAAAATGGATGGACTTTTTCACTCAAAATTTCAATCGATGAAAAACCTATAAACTATTTGTATATGGCAATAAAAAATCCATAACAATTTACAATTCTTAATGTATATAAATAATGCAAAGTTTTATCAGTCTAGATGATACATTGCCCTGTTTTTTTTAGCTGATTTTGTATTTCCTTTAATGATGATATCACCAAATGACAGGACATCTGTCATTAACCCCATTAAGTGGCAAAGTACTGTGATGCTTTTTAATCTGTCTAATGCCAGATGATTTTAATCGTCATGGTAAGAGCACTGCCACTCAATGGGCAGTTAATAGGCAATTCCGGTCTTTTAGTTTATGTGTGCAGGGGGGGTGGGAAGTAAGCTATCATATTGCTGATTATGCTGAAAAAATAAAAATGTTTGCCGTGTAAACAAGGAGTGATAGCTTATACTTGTAAATATTGAAATATTTTGGTGGTTTCAGCAGTTTTTATTGACATTTTTTAGCATAATCAGCAATATGATACCTTACTTCTCGTCATCCCTTGCATGCATAAATTAAAAGCTGCAATTACCTATTAAGGGCTTATATTAGCCCATTAAGTTGCATACATGTGCCCTACTTACTTTACCATTATTTATTCTGTCTAATGCCAGACAATTTTACTCATCAAGGGGAAAGTGCTGGCATTCAATGAGTTAATCAAATATATTTAACACACTTTCTTAGTAGTGGACTTGGATGTTCATATGAAAAAGATTTTGATAATTGTTTCTTTATCTTGCCTAAAGCCAGATGATTGTCTTCTTCTAGGGGAAAATGGTGACCTTGAATGGGTCAAGTAAGCAAAATGTTTTTCACATTTTGGCAACATATTTCTTTCATATTTCAGAGCTCTACCATAAAAATCTCCTGTCGTCACTCCCTTCCCACAAACCTTCAGAGATGAGACGAAATAAAAACATCAAAGTCTGGCAGCCAAAGGTTGTTATCAATAAACTAAACCCGGTCAAAGTGGAAACTATGGACATTGACACAATTGAAGTCAAGATAGAGGAGGCTCCCCCGATAATTCCAAAACTTGAGAATGTCACCCTCGAACCTGTTGCCACGACGGCTAGCTCTGTCATCACAAATCACGCCCTAAAGAAGAGTGCTACATTGAAAAAAGTAGGAAAGGATTCACCCAGAAAGTTTGTATTGACAAAAGGTGAGTCTGCCGTTGTTTTAATTAATGAACATTTTGACAGGCTTGTATGTTGTTTGTGATGTTACTCTGAGTGTATATCCATACTGGGCGAGCTTGAAAAATATGCCCGGCCATGGTGGGCATATTTTTCAAGCTTGCCCGGTGTGGATATACACTCAGAGTAACATCACAAACATATTCACCTGAGTACACAACACCAACACAGGCTTGTATGTGTTCTAGTTTGTTATTTTATCTTTCTAAAGGTCGATTTACACTTCACAACTTTGGCCTAAAACTGTTGCCTGCAACCTGCTTACAACTTCAGTTGTACTGTGTAAATCAAGCACACAACTTACTTACGACAACATAGGCAAGTTGTGTACTTGATAATTTACACAGAACTCAAGTTATAAGCAGCAACGTTTTGCTGGCAGTTTCAGCAAGTTTATGCAGTGGCAAAGTATTAAGTGAGAGTGTTGCCTATGTGACCTTTCTATAAGTCAGCCCCACCCCATTTCCACCTCCATCTAGACTAGTACAGATATTTGCTGTGTGTCAGTGTATTTTCCTGGAATGATATTTTGAAGAGAGTGACTGCTGCATTTGTTATAGATCGTGAATATGATCCAAATCGACATTGTGGTGTCTGGGTTTCGGAATTACAAAAGAACTGTACAAGATCTTTAACTTGCAAGGTAGGAGAGGTTTAATCTGGCAGTATTCATCACCTAACCCTAACCCTAATGACCCCTCCCCCTCTTCCCATTGGTCCCCCCCCCCCACCAATTCTCTGTGGCCAACCCCAAAGATCTGACAGATTTTCTGTGGGGGCGGGTGCACACACACACACACAAAATGTTTTGCACCTCCTCAGCAAGTTTTCCCACCCCACCTAGAGAACTTTTCACCCCCTCCCTAGAAATTTAAATTTTCATAATGGATTAAATGCCAGTAGTATGATTGATATATTATTATGATTTTGAACTAAATATAAGACTAAAAATCTCAAAATTTCCTGGGGGCTTCACCCCCTTAACCCAACCCTGTCCCTACTAGTAACTGTGCCCCAGACACCTGCTGCAGCTTGCTCGGCAGTGCTACGTGCCCCCTTGATACCCCTCTCCCTTCCTAGAGCCAAATCTGAAAATCTGTTTATGCCACAGACTTTTTTCAGGCACAAGGAAGTTGAACCATCGATCATTTTAGTAATTATAACTGTTTAGTGTTTAATGCAGATGATTTTACTTGTCTAAAGAGGAGTACCAATTACATGCTGGTAACTTGTTTAATTAACTGTTTACTTTTGTAGACCCATGCATTATCATTGCGAAGAGCTGTTCCCGGTCGAATCAAGGATTTTGATAGTCTACTCCTTGAGCACCGGGAGAGAGTGAATATTGCTAAAGAACAACAGTTACTTTCTAAAACTCAGAACCTAACTTCAAGTTCAGCTGGTAACTCTGGGAATAAATTCTCTGATCCAAGGTATTTTATAGTTTTACAGGTAAACTACGTGAAGCATTCCTCTTTTGACTTTTTAACTCATTTGGAATTTTCCTCATTAGCTTTGCAAATTTGAAAAACTCTTTGCAAATCCCTTGAGGGAATTTGCAATGTTTCTATCGGCTGTTGCAATATTCCAAACTTCATTTTAAATTTTCCTAACTTCCTGTTTTAATCTCCTAACTTCCTGTTCTGTTCTGAGCGTTGTTATTGGTCGATTATTTTTGTTAGCCAATTGCAACGCCCAGAACAGAACAGAACAGGAAGTTAGGAACTTGTAACAGGAAGTTAAGAACTTCTAACGGGAACTGAGGAAATTTTTTTTGGCTTTTAGCAACATTGCAAATTCCCTCAAGGGATTTGCAAGGGAGTTTTTTAAATTGCAAAAGTAATGAGGAAAATTGCAATCAATTTAGAAACTCAAAAGAGGAACGCTTCACGTAGTTTACCTGTAAGTAATCATATCCTACTGCAACTTCATTATGAACGCACCAACCCTTTTTTCACTATTTTTGAATAACTTGTTAATGCTAAGCGTGAATATTTTTCTAAACTTGTTACAGAAATGGTCTTGCAAATCAAGGGTTTAGTGGAGGTTTGCGTTTTTTATTCACATTTTTTTATATTTTTCTGAGTTTTATATTATCCATATTTTCTATCAGCTTTAGTAAAACTTTCATAATGTTTTTCTTTCCCAAAAGGTGGTCAATTCAACAAAGATGTGGCGTCCAGTCTTGCTTTCAAATCACAGCATTTGAATTTAGACGACGACCAGTCTGACTTGCAGTATCTTAACGCTCATCCCAGGCCTCTGGCTGTATGTTTAATATATCTCTTTGCTCGTATTTTCTATTTGTAATCCTAAACTGAGACAATGGTGATCAGCCCTCGTTAAAAACTATTGTCGTTTCTTTATTTAGTGTTGTAAGTTTGGCGCCAGACGTGCTGGTCCTGGACATTTTGTCTTCAACAGAAGATCAGATCATCTTAGAACGACAGTTTTGTCCATGGTGGAAAGATTGCTACATCCA